GAACATGGTTGCAAAAGAATGTGAATTATGGCTTTTAATTTTCAAATTGAAAAATATATAGTAAATGATGTCATTCAAAATCGGTTTCTTAACTCCTATTTCCTACTGACTAGTTTGTCAGTAGTGATGGGCTACACCGAGAGATACCGATGACGATACCGAGCGTCAATAGTGAAGGGCTATACTCGGTATTCGATACCAGCGATACCTCAAACAGCGGTATCGGTATGCACCCTTTTTTGAACGACTTGTTTCATTTTACTAATTCTTGGTTGAATATTCCAAATGTGGTGCGCCAAGTCATGTATAGAAAATATCTATTACGTTTTGGGTTGTTGGTTTACTTATAGTTTTATTTAGGTTACATATGGTAATGTAAAATGTTTTTTCCGCTGACAGGCAGATATCGAAAGTAGCCGATACTGGCAATTTAAGTAATCACTTCCGTTATCAAAAATTAAAATTTTGTGTTTATTTTGGTATCGATTTTAAAAGTATCGGTATCGAACTAAAAATCCTGGTATCGCCCGTTACTATTTGTCAGTGGCGTAACAATAGCTCTATATTTTTTTGTTGGCTGGGGGGGGGGAGGCGCGCGAAGCGAACGGCAATGGCGTGAGATTGCAAGATTTAAAATCTACAGTCCCACAAATGCGATTTGAAGCATTTTGGGGGTAAAATTTTGCAGAATTCCGAGGATAATAAAGTGCATCAAAGACATGATTTTTTACCAGATATTTTTTATCGGATCTAAATGTATTGCATAGAAAAGTCACGTTAAAAAACTGGAAGAGGAGTCCGTGTGAGCTTATTTTCCTTCTGTGCGTAATGCCGATCTTCGAGGTGGGGGGAGGGGGCGAAGACAATCCCAATGTAATTTTGATCGGAAATTTTGCATTTAGATAATTGTACGAGACGCATGTCTCGCATTCTCAAAATTGCATTACTTTTTATACTAAGATACATGGCATACATAACAAATTTGAGAAAAGATATTCGATGTTGTAATGATATACATGCCAATTTAACAGTCGAAAATCTAAACTAAATCCATTCTTCTTGGAATTATATATACAAATGCTTTAACGAAATTTCACACACTAAGTTCCTCCAGTAAATCGTCGTTGTCTTAGATGGAAACTTAGTTTTAACTTCGAAAATGTAACATGTATCCCCCCCCTCCCAATTTCTCTATGGATTTAGGCTTTTTGAGAGAATGGTTTTTGTGGCAATTGGGGGGGGAGGGGGCGGTGGCCCCCCTCGCTCCTCCTTGGCTACGCCACTGCAGAAGAAAAAGTTTTTGGAGAGTTGAAGGCACTGAGAAAAGTCTGTAACTCAACTGGGCCCTGGATGTTATCGTCTAGTGAGATTTGACTTGTCCCACGCTTTTGACAAAACACTGCACAGCCATCATTTGGGTAACGGCAGTCTTTATACACCTTTGCTGGGCTGGCGATCCGTGAAACTACCTAAACGGGGAACATTCAATAACCAAACAATAAAACCAAACTAACCAAACAATAAAAAAATCAGAAGTCGAAATACACGGATATGACCTAGTTAGACATGATAGAATTAGACATGGAGGTGGTGTAGCTATCTATATACGTGATATTATACCATACTCAGAAAGAAAATCTTTAATTCTAGATAATATCGAGGCAATCAGTCTAGAAATAAAAAAGCATAACACTAAACCGATATTAATCTCAACATGGTATAGACCACCAAACTCAAATACAAAATGGCGAGATAGATTCGAAGTCTTTCTCCAAAACGTTGACAACGAGAACATAGAAACTGTCATAACGGGAGACTTTAATATAGATCTACTACCAAAGGAAAACGAGAGTAGCATTAAAAGACGGCTTCTTGAATTACTAACTACATATCAATTACAACAAATAATAGATAAACCAACAAGAATAACAGAATCAACTAAAACATTATTAGACTTGATAATTGTAAAACTAGCGACTTAAAGACCATAGCTTTGCGCGTTATCAATCTTGGCATAAGCGACCAATAACCTCGTATATATTAGCAGAAAAGTCGGAATCCCAAAAGGAAAACCTAGAATCATTGAAACAAGACAATTTAATAATCTCAAGGTCGATGAATTTCAAAATGACTTAAGACAAGCATTCATACATTTTAAGGATTACACAGACCCCAACATAGCATTACACGACTGGAACGCAATATTTCTGCAAATCGCTGATATTCATGGGGACTGGTAGCTAGCTCTTTCAGTGCTAAACTGCTTTTCTCACCGATAGTGGTTCAGTATTACAACAGCATTAGTAGGAAATGAAAACTAAACTAACTTTATAGTTCTGATACTGCATATCAGGTCTAAATTGAATTTGAAGGTTCGTTGTGTTTGGTTGAGTCAGGGACTCTGAAAGAATTCTCACGTACATCAGAAGTACAGGAATGTACAAATAAAAGGCACTTCCCATTGTGGTACAAACACGCCCTATTTCTCGTTGTTGTAACAGTTAAAATTCGTAAACATTAATTTATTTTCGTGATTCGTGAGAAGCGTGGATGTTAACTAGGGCCTACAAGGTCAACGATCTTATTGTGGTTTATTACAATGGTGTCAAGAATCAAGATTATAACGAAATATCTAAATTAAGGAAAAAAACAACAAAAAACATACGTCATAGCGAATATCTTTTTATCTCCAAATTACGGAAAATTATTAATTAATTTTAAATGCTTTTAGCTTTTGGCAATAGATTAAAGTGTATAATTGCTTATAGCAGACAAGCTGTCTGTATATTTATAACATCTCTCCTTGGGAGACCGAATTCAAATGATTTTAAAAAGAATCTCTTTATTCTAAATCACCGGCATGTTATCTAAAGTAGGCGACGAACATGGTTGCAAAAGAATGTGAATTATGGCTTTTAATTTTCAAATTGAAAAATATATAGTAAATGATGTCATTCAAAATCGGTTTCTTAACTCCTATTTCCTACTGACTAGTTTGTCAGTGGTGATGGGCGACACCGAGAGATACCGATGACGATACCGAGCGTCAATAGTGAAGGGCGATACTCGGTATTCGATACCAGCGATACCTCAAACAGCGGTATCGGTATGCACCCTTTTTTGAACGACTTGTTTAATTTTACTAATTCTTGGTTGAATATTCCAAATGTGGTGCGCCAAGTCATGTATAGAAAATATCTATTACGTTTTGGGTTGTTGGTTTACTTATAGTTTTATTTAGGTTACATATGGTAATGTAAAATGTTTTTTCCGCTGACAGGAAGATATCGAAAGTAGCCGATACTGGCAAAAGTAATCATTTCCGTTATCGAAAATTAAAATTTTGTGTTTATTTTGGTATCGATTTTAAAAGTATCCCTTGTAGAATCCGACATATTTATAACCTATTTTATACCTATTTTTTCTCTATTTAGCCCTATTTTTCCGTATTTTTTCAAAAATATGACTATTTTATTACTATTTATCAAATTTCATAAAATAGTATATGACTATTTACATCCTATTTAAAATATAGGTTATTTATATTTTTCCAGAAAATAGCTTTGAAATAGATATTCAAATCCTATTTGAAAGAGTAATTGACAGAATCTCATTATAAAATAGCTTTTAAATAGCTATTTAATTCCTATTGATGACAAACGAGTCAGTTAAAACAGTTTAAATTGCTATTTTTAAGCTATTTTTGCTTATCTTCTTTGGAGCCATTGTTAACATACTAGTTATTAAATAGCAAAATAAATAGATCTTAAATAGCTATTTAATTCCTATTCATAGAAAGTTGTGGCGAACTTTGTTCAAAATAGCTATAAAATAGCTATTTTTAAACTATGTTTGCTTTTATTTTTGGAGATATTATTGAGTATTGTTAAAATAGTTATTAAATAGGAAAATAAATAGATCTTAATTAGCTATTTAATTCCTATTCATAGAAAGTTGTGGCGAACTTTGTTCCAAATAGCTATTAAATAGCTATTTTTAAACTATGTTTGCATTTATTTTTTAAATTTTTAGAGCCATTCTTAGAATAGTTATTAATTAAATAGCAAAATAAATAGATTTTAAATAGCTATTTAATTCCTATTCATAGAAAGTTGTGGCGAATTTTGTTCAAAATGGCTATTTTAAACTATGTTTACTTTTATTTTTAGAGCTATTGTTAAATAGCTAATAAATAGCACAGTGCCCTTTTTAAGGAATTTTCACTGAGGGGGGCAGGAAAAAAGGCGGAACGAAAAATATGACCCATCGAAGTTTGGCGAACGCGCGAGTCTGAAGAGAGATTTTGTAAAACTTTAATTTATTAACTTCACCTATATAAACAATAACTTCAACCGCTTTGTAGCTATAATCGTACAGCTATAACCAGTGGCGTAGCGCCAGACCTTAATTTTTTTGGGAGGAGTTTCCGGGGGTATACACCCCCGGGGAAATTTTGAAATCTAGGGGCCCTGAATTGCCATTTCAAGCATTTTGGGAGTGAAATTCCGAAGAATTCCGAAGATTATAAAGCACATCGAAGACATGAATTTTTCCAGACATTTCTACTCGGAATTAAAAAAATTGGAAAAGCCGCCTTGAAAAATAGGAGGAGGGGCCAGTGTCACCTTATTTCCTCTCTGTGATGCTGGGGGGGGGGGGAATCCCTATGTGATTTTGATCAGAAATGTTGCATTTAAATCATTTTCGGTTCTATGAGACACCATTTCCGCATTCTCAAAATTGCGTTGCTTTTTCATACGATACAGAATAAATCTGAGAAGAAACATCCGTACTATGATGATGCATACATGTATTTAACAGTTAAAAATCTAAACTAAATCTATTCTTCTTTGAACCAGCATTTTATCGGATTGTTTGCATGAAATCTATCGCTATTATGAAATACTCGGTGAAGAACAATATGAATTACACACAAGATAACTGTGGAGGAGGCTATGGAAGGGCATAATCTCATTATCAAGTAAATCAACTGCAATTCTGACAGCAATCATGAGCAATTCTGCTTCGCACTTCGGGGGCAGAAATGGCTTTACTGGGGGGGGGGGAATTATTTCCCTGGGGGGAAATTGCCCCCCAGATATATAGTTAAAAAAGGCACTGAAATAGCAAAATAATTTGATCTTAAAAGCTATTTATTTCCTATTCAAATAGAAAGTTGTGAGAATTTAGAAAGGGTAAATGTATTTATTTAACTGGTCAAAATTTCCCAATATTTATAGTCTTTGTTGACTTTGTGGAGGTATGTATTTTGTCTCTTGACAAAACAGCATTTTTGACAAAACACCATGCATATATGAATACCACCAAAAATTCTGACGACGAGCGCGGTTTGACAGACTGGTGCCTAATTTTCTTACAACGCGCGCAAAGCTTTCTGGGATAGCGTCACAATTCACACCGCCATATTTTTAAATATTTTTAGTTTAAACTTTCCGCTCGAAATGGCTCAAATACAGAGCTTTTATTGAGCGAAAGTGTTATTTATTTTAAAGATAAAAGATCAGGGATGACTGGGTAACATTCAGGTAAGAATTTTGTTATGTTTTATACATAAATAGAGCAATTTTGAAAGAAAATATTTGCTATCTTCATTCGTGAATTTTGAGCACATGTTCCGGCTTAAAATTTCAATTTGCTGCGACAATATTTGAATTAAAACAACATTAGTTTTATAGAATGGCTTACATTTGACTCAGCCTTTATACTTATAAATGATGTTTATTGTAATGCCAAATAGTATACTTTGATCTTTGTGTATACTATAGTGTATATGACAGATTGCCAGATTCCAGTGTTTGTTGTATAGAATAATATAGCTTGACATGCTGGCATCTACTCAATTCTCATATGCCTACCCAGGCATGTCCCAGCTAAACATGGTTTGAGAAAATTTATCGACTGGTTTCAAATTAACTGGTACTTTCATAAGTTTCCAATATTTATTCATATATAGGTGGGTCAGTTTAGGATAGATAAAAATATCAATTTGATGTGTTGTTGTCATATGTGGCAACTTGATTATAGATGTGTCCCTAACTGGAAACAGTTGAAGTCCTTAGTTTGCTTGTTCAAACTTATAAATACATTTAGTTACACCACATGTCTTCATGATCTGCTTAATAATATATGTAACAACCTTTGGGCTACATTTTATATATTTTAGAGACACCCCGGCAAGGGTTTGATTGTTTTTGGAATTACCCATTTCACTCCAATGAGCCCGATATTCAGCACTTTGTTATTAAATGTTATCTTGCCTAATGCCGGACAATTTTATTCATCAACGGAAGTGTCTAGCTAGCATACATATAGACTCTGCCCATGTTTCATGTTGACATGTAACGCTTCCCACTTAAGTGATATTATTATTTAACTCTGACATTTTATGCTAGACAATTTTACTTACCGACTGTGGCATGCTCGCCCATATCTCACCTAAATATTAACACCTATAAAGGAGCAATTTGCTCTTACCTTACTTGAAGAATGAAGTTCTTTGTAGGGGTGTGCAGGATAGAATGTTTTTGCTATCCAGCTGCATACAGGGTATATGTTGGATAGTTGAAAAATATCCAACTAGATTCAGGGTATTATTCAAATATATAAATGTTTTTTCTAACCTGTAAAGAAGGCCTGAACTAGCTGCAGCTGAGCTTCGCCCTATTCTTGATGTTACATGATGTTCTTGCTTTTTTTCTGCCCAGTCCCCAGCCAAGTTACTGTATGTATATACTTAACTCTTTGGCTACTAGAGAGACTGCTAACTACAGATTTTTAACTCATTTATCGACAGACCTCTACCTACTGATAAGTAAAATTGTCTGGCATTTACAGACGGTAAACACTAAAGTAGGTCCGTAATAGCCTCTGATGTTTCAGCACTTCTGCACTTGTTCTCAATTTCTTTTACTAATTATATTTTATTTAAAGACTATTTACATTATATGTTTTAACTTTTAATTATCTATGTTTTAGTATAATTACAAAGGTGATTATCGAAAATTGTGGCCGCTGATTGGTCAAGCGACCTCGGATTATTACGCGATAATCACCTAAGCGGTTTTTTCAAAATGGCGGCGCCAGTTGTTTTGCCAAAGTGACAGATAAAGAAATAAGTAATTTTAAAGAAAATGCTGTACCTAAGAGCACGAAAGAAGAGACAGAATTTGGCTTAAAATTATTTCGAGGTAGGAAACTAAGTTGCAGAAATCTGCTTAACTTTATTTCGCATAAAACATCGTTTTATTTTAAATTGATTGCCGTACAATTGTTTACGTTTGTAAAAATATATTTTCTACAGATTGGTTTCAACAACAGTCAGAATTCACAAATGAGTTTGAAGACATGAGTATTGACGAAATGAACCGAATTTTTATCAAAATTCTATACCTTTCTGTAAGAAAAAGTGATAGGAATTACTACAAAAAACATCCTTGATGGCGATACATACCGCTTTCTTTATGAATTTAATTAAACGATTTTCAAAAAATTGAGATGTGTTATATTATCTTTTTCAAATAATCACCTTTGTAATTATACTAAAACAATTATTCGCCTCAGGCTCGGTGAATATCGCTGAATAAAAACCTCGACTTCGTCTCGGTTTTTATTCAGCGATATTCACCTCGCCTTCGGCGAATAATTGTTAATTAACTACTGGTATTTATAATATACAGTATTTTAAAAATATTTATAGGCTATATGTATTTGTATACACTATATTTAATAGCTATTTAAACTGTATTAACAGGACATATTTTTAACTATTTATTTAATATGTTATTACTATTTTTTAACTATTTTTAATCTATTTGGGCAATATTATATCCACTATTTATTATCTATTTTTAACAAGCTGGGATGTATTTTAACTATTTATTATCTATTTTTAAACTATATTATCACTATTTTTGAACTATTTATTATCTATTTTTAAACTATATTATCACTATTTTTGAACTATTTATTATCTATTTTTAAACTATATAATCACTATTTTTGAACTATTTATTATCTATTTTTAAACTATATTATCACTATTTTTGAACTATTTATTATCTATTTTTAAACTATAATATCACTACTTTTCAACTATTTATTGACTATTTTAAACTTAGTTGAAACTCGTTTCAGCTATTTATTACATATTTTTTACCTATATTGTCACTATGTTTTAACTATTTCATACATATTTATTAACTATGTCGAAACTATATATTTTTAATAATTTCCTTAAATAGATCTATTTTTATCATATTTGAAACCTATTTAATTTCTATTCGAGTACATCAATTAAGTATTTGTTTAGAAATATATCATGAATAGGAAAAAAATATGGTTCCACTTGGATAGGAAAAAAATAGCCTTTCTACCCTAATTTAAATAGGAAAAACCTCGAAAAAAAATAATAGTAAAAATAGGAAATAAATACTTTGACAAATAGGAATTAAATAGCCCAATAAAATAGGAATTAAATAGCAATTAAATAGTGTTTGATTCTACAAGGGTTTGCTTAAATTTACAAACAGCAGCGTCTGTTCGTTTTGGGTTTTTTACCTAAACCACTTTAATAAATTGAAATTCATATCTGTAGGTTAAAATTAGCACAGCCTATAGCTACAATGTTAGAAAGTAATTGTAGGCAAGGAAAATTTCTAAACTGATTCGGCGAATTCACTCCCTGTATGTCGCTGGATTCCATCATAACGTTCGATGTTATATCGATATCGTATCATCTACGCTCGGTATAATATTCGTTTATAATAATTTCTGTACTTTTCTTTAATTACAACTGCCGACGTGAATGCCGAAGACTGCCGAAGGAATTTAAGGCGATTTCATTGTGCGCCTCGGCAAAAAAATGCCGAGGCAAACTCGAAAATTATCGAAAGACTTCGGCGGAAAAAATAGTTCAAATACGAGGGTTGAGGAGTGGTATTATCGATTTCTTGGTGACAATGGGAATGTTAAGATACTCACAGACAAAGTCAATGACTTCTTCTTGAGTGCTAACTGAGAACTTTCCATCGTTATCGCCTTTTTGCATGCTCAACTTCTGTAAGAGACTTCTATCACAGCTGACACGAAAAATTGACCCCCGCCAGTTTGCTCGCAAGGGCCACCCCACGACGGACGCGCTATTATTTTTACTTCAACCCGGTTTATGAGGCCCTTGATATAGCGGAAATGCTTGTGCTCGTTTCTTTTTTGCTCACTTTAGCAAAGGGTTCGACCGTATTCACCACCACGTTCTTATGCAGGAGGTGATAAAATTGGATATTCATCCTGTCTTACTTAATTGTATCAATGCTTTCCTTCCCAATAGAAAACAGGCTGTCAGAATAGGGGGAACTTTGTCAGATTAGAAATCCCGGAACGGTGGTGTACACTAGGGAACTAAACTTGGAGTTATTCTTTTCTCGGTTATGACAAATAAGCTAATATCTGATTGGCATTTAAGGACAAAGTTTGTCGATGACACAGCTGCGCTAGAGATTATTCCCAGGAACTCATTTAGTTATCTGAACAATAAGGTAGATGAACTACATCAATTCTCTTACAAGAGTCTCGACCCACTTAAATGCAGGGAGATGGTGACTAATTTTATGAATAATAACAACTCTATGATGAGGTCCTTTGTAATAGACAGCAACGTAGTAGAAAGGGTAACCAGTTCAAATGAGTGAGGATCTTAAGTGGAATAAACATGTTCACTATACCTACAACAAAGCTTGTAATGCGTTGAGCAAAGGAATACTAAAAGTATACATATTTAACTACTATCAGACCCGTATTGGAAATTTGGAATATGATGTACTAATATGGCAAGCGATCCCTGACTATTTTATTAAAAGGCCAGAATCAATACAGAGAATGGCACTTCGAATCATTTTCCCTTCCATAGACAGTTATGATGAGGCGACGATGATGGCACAGATACCAACATTGGAGAGTAGACGTGAACAGTTATGTAAAAAATATATGATCCAATGAAGAAGGAAAATTATCCCCTGCTATGCTCCCAAAACCTAAGATGAGCGAATCCATGTATAGCCTACGAAGTGGATAAAACAATACTATTTTGTTTGAGAACACAATTAAATGCAGAACTTTAAGATCAGAACAATTTTTTTATTTGCTGCGGAGCAAGCGAGCAGCAAGGCGAAACAGCAGTCTAATTTGTGCAGAGAGGCGTCTGTTCATGCAGTACATTTTTCTAGCGCGTTCCATTGTGGTCGCGCTCAGCGGTTGTTCGCAGTACACATCCACCCGAATCCATGTGCTTTCATTCACTACACTACAGACTAGCAGATTAGTTTTCGTTCCTTGGTTTAATATACTGTGTATATAATGTGGTAAATTAGCCTATGGCGAAAACTTGTGTTATATAATAATAATAATTTAATAAATAATTTATTAATTTATAAAGCGCTAAAGAACTATAGAGCTGTCTAAGCGCTAAAGCACTATAGTGTAAAGCGTTAAATCGATCACTATAGAGCTGTCTAACCTAAAGCGCTAAAGCACTATAGAGCTGTCTAACCTTGTCTCATTTATTGCCAAGATGTCAAAAGGCTGATTTAACATGACTACTTTGAGTTCGTCAATATGCTTGGTTAAACTAATAATGTTAAGCGGGCCAAACGCGGCTATTTTAAAGCCTTTTAATGACTTGACCGCAGAAATAAAACCTGTACTGGTTTTATCATTTTGACGCACTCTGGCTATTTTCATTCACATTTAAAATATGCTGCCTCGTTTCGTCGTTCGTCTCGCAAAAATCTTGTTAATTCTGATTTCTAAAATACAGTATTTACACTCGGAAAAGTCGTGCTGCTTTTGGGTTCCGCCGTGAATTGCGGTCAAACTTCACATCGCCCACACTGACCGTGGTGTAACCGCGGGCGATCCGAGGGTGAACCGTTTGAACGCGGTTTTTGTCAACTTAATATTTCTAGGCAGTACTGTAGCTATAATTTGCTTACAATAATGTTTATTTCCCAAACCGGTTTGACATATTTTTACAAATGGCCAATCACATGCAAGATTCAAATTCTGAACCTAATCAAGTGTGGAGGTGGGATATACAACCGATGTGACCAGAGGCTCTTCCTTCTCACCTCTCGTTTCTTTCGCCTCGGAACCTCTGGAATCAAGGTATTCACGTGGCAGAGACCATGGAAAAGTTCTGTTATGTCAACTGTAATACATCAATTTTTAGTTTGTTGCACACGTCCGTACCCAGCTGAAATTTGCAAGTTGTGGTCTTTTCTAAAAATATGAAGAGAAAACAAATTTGCTCTGTTGGCAACAACAACGTTAGATATGAACAGAGTGTTCTAAAACATGCATGGCAACAAAACTCTACAATTTTATACGACATATCCTAAAAAATCACCCACTTGGCTTGAATAAATTCAATCTAAAACGTTAAAAGCTGCTTACAATGTCAATTATTGACAATGTGAAGTATATTTCGCTTGAAAATATCTGGGCCAAAACTTTCCAATACAATACTCCACACACTAGTAATACTCTACTATTTCGCCCGAAAGATCATAAAAAATCACCGGCTAACTTGGCTTGAATTTATTGAAGACTAGAGTATTGTTTGCATGTTTTGAATTGGATAAATCAGGACAAGATTCCCATAACTTTGGCCTGGATATTTTCGAGCCAAGTACTTAAAACCAAGAGGGTGATTTTTTAGGAAATTTCGTGAGAAGTTGTAGAGTATTGACTATCGTTGCCATGTTTAGGCTTGGATAAATTCAGGACAAAATTCCCATAACTTTCTTACATGTTGCTGTGTGATGTTATTCTGAGTGTATATCCACACCGGGCAGGCTTGAAAAATATGCCTGGCCACGGTGGGATTCGAACCTACGACCTTTGGACTAGTATTCCGATTTCATTTGCCTTTTTGTGTCCGCAGAAAGTTTGTCACCATCATTAAGAGTAAAAGCAGCCAGGTAAACACATTCTTTTGGAAGTAGATCTGTCCAAGGTTCTTTACTGTGAATCCATGGTTCCCACTTTTTGTTTCACGAACCCTTCCAATAATGAATTGTAAATTCTTTATCCCTTTTTTCCAAAACTTTCCCAATAACAGGAACTTTATTGTCCCCGAGCCGACGGCGCGAAGCGCCGTGCGAGGGCACTAATTCCCCCCGGCTATTTACACCCGGGGAAACGAAAACATTAGCGATCGCGAAGTCTAAAGTTCATGAAATATCGCGGGCGGGCGTCACCAACCGTGGGTGGTCATCCTCACTGATCTCAAAAATATGGCGGACTGTCATGAATAGCGAACGCTGTGATTGGTCGAATTTAAAGTTTGCATTATAACGACTGCATGACGACAGCGAAATAGCAAACATTTCTTTATTTGATGATTGATAAATTTCTTGCAAATATATTTCATTTTTGCTCGCATTTTTGCAAGATTTTGTAAATTTCAAGTAAGAAATGGCGAAAGAATCGGCTAAAAGAAGGGAGCCGACGTTAATGAAGGTTAGTTTGTTTTAAATATTGATTTTATAATTGCTTTAAAATCCGACGGCCTTAGCGTATATGAAACAACTAAACAAGACAGCATATCGGGCCCCATTTCTGTGTATCTTTAATATTGATTCCCTTTTTTACTATATTGATTTTTTTAAATAAAAAGAAAGCAAACTTATTTCCATGCGAGAATTTGAAATCATTTTATTGCAAACTCAAAGTTTATTGATAAAGCCATTTAATTAAAGAATAAAGGCAGTTTAGTTTTATACTTTAAAACGTTTTGCGAAGCGTTTGTGGTTGAATTTTACCTTAAATTGAAGCTTATATTACGTATAATATCATACCTAACATATATGTGTTGGGAAATTGATAATTTTTTAATTAAAAGAGATATTTTTAAGCGATTTTTCATTTGTAAGAATATTCTTAAGAAATTATCGTGTTACCATGACAACTACTTTAGATACTTCATGTTCGGAAAATACAATGGTTTTGTCAGCAAGGCGAGGGTTTCTGCATGCATGTATTTTCTAGTAGTTTTCCAGGTTAACCGCAACAAGCGACTCGACGAGAACATGGTCCCATACATTGTCTACAGTAGTAACTGTTGTTCTTTTGCGGTATGATCCAACCTAGACCTAAAATATTAAAAAAATTGTCGAGTTAATTATAGGAAGAATACAACATGATTCTTCCGTTTTGGCTTGATTTAAATTTTCTACATTTTATATACCTCTGGAATTTCCCCACATTGAGCTGCCACAATCTTTGGCACATCGTCAGGAACACCTGATGGAATTTCGTTTCCGTCTTCTTCATCTCTTGTCTCCTGGTCATTGGTGATGATGCAGTTGGCTTTCTTCTGCTTCAAGTCATTCAGTAACCATGTATTAGGTTTAGGTGGCGCAGGTCCGTAGACCTTTTATGCATTCGAAAACCAGCGGTGCCACCACTCACGCTGCTCCTGTGTTATTACCCTGGAATTATCCAGAAACTTGGTGTTACGGACGGTACTATAATTAATCTAATTATTTCGCGCCGTTTGTTGACATTAGCATAATTAATTTAGGGCCAGTCTTCGCAAGCGAGGCTTTTGGAAAACTATTGATATTCGTGATAGATATACAAACGTAATCTGCTTTAAAATCGCCATAAGATGTAAGTATTTCTTTCATTTTGACTTTGAACCACTTGAACTTGTTGTTAATGAACGTTATTTGTAATTCTATGTAGCAAACCTTTGTTTACGACCGATATTAGTCGAAATACGGACAGAATCGAGGACAGAATGATGCATGGATATTTGATATGTACAAGATATTTGTCATGATGTACTGCTTAGAATAAACTAAATTTGAGAGTAAATAAAGTGTAATGACGTGGTGATTATTATTTGATATATAAACGACATTCGGTTGGGTTCGTTCCCAACATAGTTTGATCTTTTATGGATGAAATCGGTGCAAAACAGTTCGACTAACTTCGCGATCGACGAAGTCAACAAGCCGGAAGTGACGACGGTTTACGAAGGACATCTCGGACCCGGAAGGTGCCGCGTGAGTACCCGGAATATTTAAATGAAATACATTCCAAAGGACTAAATTAAAGCATGAATTATTAAAACGTTCGCAAATTATTGAAGTATCTACAGAGTCTTTAAAAACTTATGATTATAGTAATATTGAGACTACAAAAATTGAAAAAACTTTGGACACTATACATTCAAAGTGGGTTAAGTACCTCAAAGTACATGAAGATTATTCTCAGCTGATTAATAACACGCGTGACTTGGAGCGTCTTAGCATCCAACGTCAAAGTCTCGAACGAAAAATAAATGAATGTAATCAACTAGCTATTGGTCAACTTAACAAGAGCATTCGCAGTTTACAGAGAGACTCAAAGTTTGAGAATGGTCTTCACCTTAAGGATGATGATAAACTTTCTGTGTCAGTACAAAGTAGTGTTTCCATGTCAAGGTCGTCAAAGAGTAGACGTTCAGGGGTGTCCTCTGTGTCGTCTAGGGTGAAGACGGCTGCTCGTTCAGTAGAATTAGCAAGATTGAAACTAGAGCAGGCAGAGAGAAGAGCAAAAGCAAAGGAAAAACAAATGCAAGAACAGATAGAACGTGAGTTACAGGATTTGCGGGACCAAGCAGAGTATTCTCAGTTAGAAGCCGAACTTTTGGCAGCCGATTAGGCAGACGAAAGATATAGTGACTGCGGAAGCATGCGTAGTTTATAGGCCTACTCTGGGACCTTAACTCGCCTTATCTCGCAAAATAGAAATTGATCGAATTTTGCTTAACTCGCCCAATCTCGCCTTATCTCGCAATGAGAAGTTGACAGAATTTTGCTTAACTCGCCTAAACTCGCCCTATTTTGCAATAAAAACCGGCACAGTTTCACGTCAGTAAAACACAAATACTGTCAATCAAAATTCTTTAGACTTACAATACTCACTTATACATTCTATATGAGTTTGGCATTGCAACTATCATCAACATACAAGTATGTAAGCCTGATTATCTGAAATGTTATCATATTTTTAATTTACTACATTCTCTGTAATGCCATAAAGCTGTATTGATCAAATAATTCCACCAACGTACTACTCTACTTCAACACAGTAAGCAGGCCTTAGCAGGCATACTGTATACAGTAATACCCAGTATTTAATAAATCACAGTGAAAATAATTGAACATAATATTAACAGAACCCAAACTGCCAAGTATGGTTGAAAATTAATATTCCCATGTATACTAATATACAGATCACTTATCTATTCTATTTCAACTATACAATGATATCAAAACATCAAAAGTACTTGCTTAGCTTTTATGCAGCTATCACATGACTATCAAATTTTACTAAAATACTGTTATACTTATAGTATAAAGGTCTCTGTGATATCAACAGCTCATACTGCAAAGTTATTCGTTGAACTGTTTTTATATACAACCGGCAACAGAGCTATACTGAACCAACGATAGGCGCAGAATTTTAGGAGAAATATTTTAATACACAATCACATTCACAAAATTTGTGAAAAATATAGATTTACAGTAAAAGCAAAGTTAAAGGTGAATATTGCAGTAAACATACCGTGCTTGCCTGTCTGTGACCAACATTAAATTTAGTAGAAACAATCTGTAGTGACAAGGCTTTTTGAATCTCATTTTAATATCATAATAGTAATACATGAATAACATAATAAAAAACTTTAAAATGTCGATGCATATCCCGCCATATTGCGTTTGCGGAATCGAATGATTCTGACTTATAGACTGCGTAGACTCCCCCGACCACAGAGGAATGACCGCGATGATGAGAACGAAGATTCCGTTTACCAGGGGGGCAGGATGCTGTCTAGGAACAGATATTAAAAATATTGCTCCCTTCAGCGGAAAAATTACAATCTGCTTGCAATACTTAGTGTTAGTGTTAATGAGAGGCAGTGAATTCTGAATATAAAAGCTTGATAGGAAATAGGAATATACTAAACAAAATTGTACAAAATTTACACTCAAAATTTTCATCGATCTACAAAAATCCTTCAACATTTAGTGATGTACATCAGCATTGCCATGTAAAACCCTTTTCTCACCAAACATGCACTTACTGCATGTAATAGTTGGTGCATGGTCAACATAGGAATATTTGCACAAAAATAGACATTACCTCTCAATTCTATATTTTTCTCATACAGAATACATGGTCTGCTTCATTAAATTAATATGAAGTTTTTAGATAATAATTAAACTGCTTTATATTTTTTAGGACCAAGAAGTGTTCTCTTAAATTAAGGGAGAGGTATTGTCAGTGAAAAATTTGAGGAATCTGATGCATTGGTGGAATACTGCATGTGGTCATGAAATTATACCGATAATTTTCTCAGAACCAATCCAATATTCATCACTACATTAAACATATTTTCAGAGGTCAAGTATTACTAACAGTGATTTGAGCTCTAGGTGTGGAAATAGAAATCACAAAATGTTAATAATAAATGAAAATTTTAATAAATTTTATATATTTACATAATTTACATAATACGTACTGTACTGTAATTTAGTATTTATGACAACAAGTATTTATAATCATTGAAAATTGTATTGACAGAATTTAATTACATTAATAAGTGGGCATTCATTATTGATGTGGGGGGTGGATGGGTGAGAAACTGGGGGACCTGAGATTTTCCCAGATGAAAAGGGGGACTGCAATTCTGGTATTAAAACCAAATCCTGGGGGTACCTGACACTCAAGGAAGACACATCTACACAAGTAGTAATATAGAGGCCGTTCGACCCCCTTTTTTGTGGCGGAGTGTGGCGGAGTGTGGTGGAGTGTGGTGGAGTGTGGTGGAGATCAACCCCCATTTTTGTGGTGGAGTGTGGTGGAGTGTGGTGGATGAGGTGGTGGAGTGTGGTGGAGGGAGGGTGCGTAATGACGTCACTCATTAGCATACGTCATAATTATATGCAATGACGTCACGCGGGCAGGTTTAAACAAGGACGTGTGAAACTTGCTGACTACGCATTTTTTAGCGTCCCCCCCCCCACGTGTGTGGTACAGTGGAGGGATTAATGTTGGCTTACTATGATTGGTTGTTTGATTTAACGAGCGTCTGTATAAAATCGACAAGCGTCTTGTAACAAGCATAGTTCTGCATTAGTTCTACATCAGTCATGGAGTGTCTACACGGAAAAGCTGCAGCCTCTACAACTACAAACAATGGTACATTTTGGTTTTGTGGGGAAAAACCAAGCTGTGAGTTCTTTTGCCCGGACGAAAATTGTTATATGTATACAAGAGCTGTAGCTGCGTTTCGTGCAAGTGGTTCTATACATCCCGTATGTCCTACACATCAGACATTTGCCAAGTTATGTGTGGTCAAAGACACAATGAAAGATAATTACGGACGACCCTTCTTCGTATGTTCTGAGCGAAAGAATCCCTGCAAGTTCTGGCAATGGGGAGACGTATTCGAAGGTCCAAGACCGTTATGTCAACATGGAATGGTGTGCTGTGAACGAAAAGTCAAGAAAGATGGTCCGAATCAAAACCGTCTGTTTTACTGCTGTCCGAAGGACGACTCTTGTGGTTTCTTCGAATGGAAGCAACAAGGCCCTCGGGTGACCAACACTGGCATCGTGCTTTTCAGTAATCCACTACAATACCAGTACATGATTGAAGAAACAGGAGAGACACTAAGGAGGCCTATGATGAATTTCGTAGATTTGGTTTAACAAGTGAACTTGATAAAATAGACCTCTTGTAATAATAATACCTTGCTAGTTAATTAATGTAAATTCGCATATATTTACTGAAATAAATATTGTGTGTCTCATTTGTTGTTCAATCGTTGTGGTGAGAGTATCATGGATAACATAGATATAATTTTTGATGAGTTGAAACGAAACGAAATGAAATTGATATTGATAAGCAAACTTTATCGTTTCATATAAATACAATTCTCGACCGCCATCGAGATCAATATCGTCCAGTGAATGCTCGTGATCTAAACCTTGACCAAATCTACAGAGAGATCAATGTAACAAACTTTGGTTGTATCATTGCCTATTTAGCTTTGGTATGTGTACAAAATGATAGCGAGGAATCTATTCGTCACAATGTACAAAAAACCATCGAGCCATGTCGAATTTTTACTATTCCCAAACATAAACGAAGTAAACATCCAATTTAAATAACACTCTCACTCACACTGATAGCTTTATATATCAGTCTATAATTACTGGCTGTTTCATTTTGTTCAAAGCTCTGAAGAGTGAGGATGCCTTGCTGTAAAGGTTTACCACAAATCTCTCTTCGAAACATTTTTCGAAAAGTACGCTGTATTTCTGCTTGCTGTGGTGGAAAAATTGTAATTCAAGCCTCAGACATCGATGGCGGAGAAATATCTAAGCCAGATCTATTACGATCCAGAAAGTCCCGCAAGTTTTGGTGGCGTAGATTCCGTTTATCGCGCCGTGAAAAACGAAGGGAAATATGAGATATCGCGGAATAAAATACGCCAATGGTTACAAAAGCAAGATGCCTGTTCATTGCATAAACCTGTGAGATATCGCTTCAGGCGTAACCGTGTTATAGTTGGAGCCATGGATGATGAGTGGGAGGCATATTTAGTCATTATGGATTCATTAAGTCAACAGAA